TACTGATTGGTAGTTCAATCTTAAAGAGCATCTCCCCTAAGGGCATTACAAGGAAGGTAGACATTACACCAACCACCAGTGGGGAATTCACAAGGGCTGTCATTTATATTGGAGGCAATGATGCTGTGGCTGTCACCTGTTGAGAACTTTGTAAATGACTATAAACAACCTGTTAGGTGTGTGCGGGAAAATGTATGTGAGGATGTGACTCAGTGTGGTCGGTGTCCCAGGATTGATGCAGACATTGTGCCGTACAATGAGGTCATACAGAGTCTATACACCTCTCTAACTGCAGATATGTGGACTGTAAACCAACATTTCTACTTGGAAATGGGGATATGGTGTCCTCCTTCTTTTACAAAGATCATATTCATCTGAGTGGTAGGGGTGTGTCAACATTGCCACACTGTATAGACAGTGTGATACCTATTCTGAGAAGTAAACTGCAAATGGACAACACACATGGTTTGACACCTCGTAACATTTGTTTGTTTGATTTTGTTTAACGTCCTTTTAACAGCTAAGGTAATTTAAGGACGGTCTCTCCTGTATGGAAGATGCATGCGTGTAGTGTATGTGTGTGTATTGGGAGGTTGTGATATGTTCGTGTATGTCTCCTTGTGATAGCGCAGCACTGATGCCGTCTTTGTAGTGCTACCTCACTGAAACATACTGCCGAAGACACCCAGCAGGACGCCCCACCCGGTCACATTATACTGCTGACAACGGGCGAACCAGTCGTCCCACTCCTAATTTGCTGAGCGTTAAGCAGGAGTATATAATACCTCGTAACATGAGACTGATTGCATGTTTCCCGCAAAAACCTAATTACTCTAGACATTCACGCCATCCTAGCCATTCGTCTGTGACTAATAGTCACAGACAAACACAGAGAGGATTGGAACGTCGTACACGTGATGACAATACTGGTGCAATATTGTAAAGCCAAGTCTCAGAACAATTATACAAATCACCAAGCCGCCGTACACCAACTTGTTGGGACTGTGGAAGATTTGGTCGTATTTATCATGATTGTCAAAATGCGTTTACATAGGATCACATAGACAGTTCCTGTGAAGCACATCTACTAGCAAATGCAAACAATTCTAACATTCAATCTCCTAACAAATTTGACTTATTAAATAGCCTATGTGATTGTGGATGCTTAACATATTCTGCGCAATGTCGGACGAGAGATGTTTGTTATAGTAGTAATCATTTTAATGATGGAACGTGTATCAGCAATAAAAGCACCCACAAAAGACAATATGGAATTTCAAAATACATATTTAAGTATGTTAAAACATGACATTTTCATTTTGTACCTCATTAATTGACAATCCAGTAATAAGTTCAGATGAAATTATCGGTGTTAAAGCTTTGTTTGTTTGTTTGTTTGATTTTGTTTAACGTCCTATTAACAGCTAAGGTCATTTAAGGACGGCCTCCCCTGGGTGCAAGATGTATGCGTGTAGTGTATGTGTGTGTATTTTGGGAGGCTGCGATATGTTCGTGTTTGTCTCCTTGTGATAGCGCGAAACTGATGCCGACTTTATAGTGCTACCTCACTGAAACATTCTGCCGAAGACACCCAGCAGGACGCCCCACCCGGTCACATTATACTGACAACGGGCGAACCAGTCGTCCCACTCCTAATTTGCTGAGCGTTAAGCAGGAGTATAAACTACCATTTTTAAAGACTTTGGTATGTCTCGGCCAGGGGACAGAACCCAAAGCCTTCCTCACAGGGGCGAACGCTCAACAAATGGCCAAAAGTGAGGCATTGTCAAGGGAGACATTAGGAAGAAGAAAGTTATTTAGAAAGGAGAGAAGAGATAAGGTCCCAAATTTAGTCGCCTCTTACGATCATGCAATTGGGGGCAGCAGGTACAATTCTTACGCCCTACCTGCAGGGTCTCGGTGTTAAAGCCGCACCAATCTCAGTTTTTGGGGTCTCATTGAAGGGAATGTATATTGGTAGCTGGAATATTCGACACCTACTACCAAAAATTGATGAGATAATATTACTCCTAAATAATGAAAAAACTCTACATATATTGGGTGTATGTGAAACTTTCTTAGATGAAAATGTAAATGACAGCTTTTTTACAATTGATGGGTACAACTATGAAAGAAGGGATCGGTTAAACCAGATTGGCGGTGGATTAGTAGTGTATATAAATAACTCCTTGTCTTACATAAGAAGATCTGATCTTGAAGTTGCTGATATTGGATTCAGTTAGACAATATCAGAAGAAAATACTTGTATGCTTTGTATATAGACCACCTAGTGCTATTGCTGAATGGATTGAACATTTTGATAATATGGTTGATAGAACAATATGTGAAGACTTAGATGTGGTACTAATGGGAGATTTTAATATTGACTTGAAAAAAGTGGGATGATTTTGTCACCACTCACAATCTTACCCAGCTGATGAAGCAGCCCACCCGAGTAGCTCATTCCTCTTCAACCAACAGATCATGTTTATACTAGTAATGATGATATTATTTCTGATGTATATATATACCATGTATAGCTTTAAGTGATCATTATTCTGTATGTGTTACCGTACAACATAATTTGCGTTATATGGAAAGCAAATTTAAACACACTACGATAAAGTACAGATGTTTCAAAAAATTTGAAAATGAAGATTTTCTACAGGATCTCAAAAATGAATCCAATATAGATGAGGTAGCACAAAAGACTGACCCAAATGAAGCAATATCACTCCTATATAACATAATATTGAAAATCCTACATAAACATGCCATGATGAAAACTAAAAGGGTCAAACGAAACAAACAGCCAGAATGGTTTAACGAGGACACTCGCTTACGAGATAAATTTCATTCAGCAAAGGATTGGGATAACTATGGAGAAACAGAACTAATTTGCTAATACTAAATTCAAAGAAACATATGTTAAAAAATCTGTTACTGATCACAAACCTAGTGCCTTACTTTGGAAACACGTAAAATGCATGTCATCCAGTGAATCTCGAAGTACTATTCCTACTCATCTTAAAATAAATAATGACATGACCATTACTGATAAACAAGAAATCATAGGCAGAATAAACATGCATTTTGTTGATGTCTCCAATATGGTCGATAAAACACCACTGGATTATAATGATCATTTTTGTGATGGAACAACATGTTTCAAGTAGAATTTCTAAACGAAACCTATTCATCATTCCTTACATACATTTAAAAGATGTCGAAACGTACATAAATAAACTTGACGACACTAAGTCCACTGGAAATAATGAAATTGGTCCAAAAATACTTAAAATTTGCAACCATATTATATCTCCATATTTAACTTATATCATTAATTTGAGGATATCAACGTCCATCCTTCCAACCGCTCTAAAAATAGCAAGAGTGACACCACTACACAAGGGCGGAGATAAGGATATTCTAGACAATTGCAGACCAATATCTATTCTACCTACTATATCCAAAATATTTGAGAGACATACTTCAAATCACTTATATAAATATTTATTGAAGTATGACCTTTTGCATAGCTCGCAATCAGGCTTTCGAGCGAAACACTCATGTCAGACTGCCCTAGTTAACCTAATTGATAAATGGATTGAGGGTATTGACTATAATGAAGTAATTGGTACAGTGTTTATTGATTTAAGAAAGGCCTTTGACTTGGTGGATCATGACATTCTTCTACATAAACTTAAGATACTAAATATCGCTAGCACCAGTGTGAACTGGCTAACATCATACTTAGAAAATAGAGTGCAATCTGTCAAATCCAACAATATTTCATCTTCACCTAAAGTAATTAGGACAGGTGTTCCTCAAGGCTCAATACTTGGGCCGTTACTATTCATTATATACATAAATGATATGCCATTATATGTACAAAATTGTTTGATTGACATGTATGCGGATGATAGTACAATGTATTTGAAGGGAGATAACTCCTCTGCTATTGCAGATAATCTCCAAGATAATCTAAATCATATAGTGAGATGGTGTGTGAATAATAACATGAAATTGAATAAAAATAAGACCACAAGTATGGTAATAGCCAGCAAACATAAACTTACAAATCTAAATCCAAAATCCATTACGTTTGGTAGTAGACAATGACGAAATTGCGTCCTCCTCCTGTAAAAAGGTTCTGGGTATGTATATTGATAACAATCTAAGTTGGGTAACCCAAGTGAAAAAAAGGTATCTACTGGTGTTGTGTCATGGAATAATCTTCCAAACCAAATTAAGAATGATATAACAGTCTTCACGTTTAAATTTTTTTCAAGAGTCACCTATTGTCTCTTTACTTAAATGGATAAATGAACATTATCAATTTCATGATAATAAAACGTTTGGTATTGAAATTCCACAGGACACTATCAACACCTATAATGTAAGGTTCCACATATGCTGTTAGTATATGCAAGATATTGTTGGAATACGTTACCATAGCCATTACAACACGTAATTCTAGTCAGTTTACAGTAATCTCATTAATTGATTGTGTTTGTAGTTATATCATATCATTGTTTTATGTAATCTCTTTATGCATTCATGTACTATATGTGTTTAAGGGTTGCATGGAAGATTAGTCTTGTACTTAATGTGTAACCCTCTTTAAATAAAGTTATTATTATTATTATCATTATTAATGGACTGATGCTGTTTTTGCATACTCCTTTGTTTATCTGTTAGCACACCCATGTGATATTTCGTGTGGTTACCGTCATATTTCGTGTGGTTTCGTGTGGTTTTAAACCGTCATATTTCGTGTGGTATCGTGTGTGTTTTTTGTATATAGCCTTAAAATAGTTTCGTATGGTATCGTGGGGTTCATATTTCGTGTGGTATCGTGGGGCTCATATTTCGTGCGTTATCGTGAGGTTCATATTTCGTGTGATAACGTAGGGCTCATATTTCGTACAGCATCGTATGAGGTCACATTACATGTTCTATAAAAGTCGCTGGTTCACCTAGGGTTTCAGTAGTACCGCATGGCACAGAAACAGATCGACCTCGTCAGTGGTGGAAACATCGACGTCTACGATGTCTCCGCTAGCAGTATTACCTGTCGTATTGGATTAACACAGCAAGTCATCGTTAAGAAAGTCAAAAGTGAGGTGAAAGTTTGTTTACGTGAGAAAAATTTTTTTACAAATCACAGGTGACTTTTTTAAACAAGAGGCCCAATGGGCCTGCATCGCTCACCTGGTAGTAGTCTCACACTTGTAATCTTAAAAGTGGACTAAAATACAGCTACAGGCAGAATATCAGTGTGACCTTGAATGTCAAACAATGACATTAGGTTGAAAGTGGGTCAAGGTCATTCATTTGAACAAATTTGGTAGCCCTGATTGCTACAGGCCAAATATCAGGACCCTGGACCTTTTGGTTGTTGAGAAGAAGTTGATTGAAGATTTTAAGACATTTGACACCTGTGACCTTGAAAGTTGGTCAAGGTCATTCATTTGAACAAACTTGGTAGCCCGTCATCCCAGCATGTTACTGGCCAAATATCATCACCCTATGCCTCTTGGTTATTCAGACGAAATTGTTTAAAGAATTTAACATATTTGACCCCAGTGACCTTGAAAATAGGTGAAAGGTCATTAATTTTAACAATCTTTGTAGCCCTTCATCCCATTTTGCTTCTGTCCAAATATTATCACCCTATACCTCTTGGTTATTCAGAAGAGGTTGTTTAAAGAATTTAACATATTTGACCCCTGTGACCTTGAAAATGGTCATTTTTTTTTAACAAACTTGGTAGCCTTTCATCCAAGCATGCTTATGGCCAAATATCATCACCCTAGGCCTTTTGGTTACTGAGAAGAAGTTGTTGATAGTAAAATGTTGACAACGGACGGACGACGGATGCCGCACCATGCCATAAGCTCACTAGGCACTTCGGACCTAGTGAGCTTATGGCAAACCCAATGTGTTCAACATAATGACTTTGTTCGACTTTCAATGTGAAAAAAAGAAATTGAATGAATTTTAATCATAAATACTGATATTTTGCCTGTAGCTTTAGTTTAGATCACCTTTAAGGTTACAAGTGAGATTTATACCAGGTGAGCGATGCAGGCCCTTTGGGCCTCTTGTTTTTGTTTATTCTGTTTAAAAAGATACTCCTTTACACATACTTCCATCAAAAGTCCAGCTCTCTTAAGCGTAATTGCACTGTATATCGCACAATCGTTATTCAGTCTATTTTCGAATGCAATTTTTTGCTCGCCAGCGTCACTTAACATCAGATTCATGTTAAGTTAATGTCTAATATGGTAGCTGCACAACAGAGAAGATACCTGATATTTCGTGCTTTACATAGGTTTAATTCACCTAAATGATACAGCTACTTTTACGCTGACACATGTTGCTCTCAGGTTATTTTGATGTATTAGCCAATCTGCCAGATTTTTTGGTTTTTAATGACGTAAAACGCAACCTTCACATGACCCTTCTATCCCAAAGGTAATAAAAAAAAAATAACTTAACACTTATGTGAACTTTGTTATACAATTGATAAGTACCCTTCACGTGAACCCTCTGTAGTCGAACTGTTTTGTTTATCACAAAGTGAGCTCGTTAGAGGTTCAACAATAACGATACAAGGTAACATTTACATATACCCTCTATAGCTAATCACTAAAAATTTATATAGGCTTCATTGTAAAAAACATCTCTTAATAATCCATTTATCAGTAATATTTTTCTCAAACAATATTCTAGGACCGTTCAAATGGCATTTATGTAGAGATCCGGTCAAATCCCGTTGAATTCTACCCGACGCGATAAAAATCCCGACAGTATACAACCCTCAAAACACCCGCTTCTAGTGTTTCATAAGAGAGAAAAATGGCGCCAGTCAATCTTGTTGTTGTTGTTGTTGTCGTCGTCTTGCTCGCAATTTCATGCTATGGAATTGAATTCCTTTGGAAATGCAACACACGCATTGATACCGAAACGTCGGAGGATACGTACGTGTTTGCTATGCACACACAGCACAGGAACTTCGACCTGTGTACTGGGATTAAGCAGCTGAATCCAGCTATCAGTAGAATAATCGTGAAGGAATGGAAGCATCAATATCAACTAACCCTAGGCAAGCAATATTTGAACTTGAAAGAGATTGACTTGCTGCCTAGGGCGGAGGTCAATTGCTATCTACTCCCTTCGATTGTGAAGAATTGCGTAAGTCATATCAATTTTAGACTTATCTATTTCTGATCATGTTATTATTATTATAAATATATGTTTATATCTTTAAATACAACTTATTGTAAAAATAATATCATCAATCTGAAATTTATTATACATAATATACCTCTGCTATTGATATAATTATGAACATTTAGAACTCGCTCAGCAAGATTAAACATTAAATAATATCTAATGATTTAGAAACTTCTTTTTTTCCTTAATGATTTTTGTTTATTCTAGTTGACCACCACAAAAACAACTGCAACAACAACAACTCCCTCAGAAACAACGGACACAACCACGATCGGAGCATCAACAACAACTACAACTTGGCAATCACAATCAAAGCGCTGGATGTATCTTGGTAATTTGTTTTGTCTAAATTGTATATAGTTAATTGAAAAATATCTTCAATCATTTTAAACTTATGTGTTATGTCTTTGTGTATTTAAAACAGACTTTTTCAATTTATTGCATGCTTTTTTATGTGTTGTAGGCTATAGTGTATAGTAGGCGTTGTGTTTGTGCTTGGCGGTGTGCTAATATGCTGCAGACTATATAGAGGTAAAAAAAAATCTTTTCTCGTGGCTACCTAGAAAAAAACGAATAGAAAATAGTTTGATGTACAGTTGTTTGAGTTTTGGAAAGAGCTTAATATACACATAAAATTACTGATATTTTTAAAATCTACCCTCAATACTCAAAAATGTTTTATTTTACTAGTTTAGATGAATGTTTCATGATTCTTTATATGTATAATCATTTACAAAATCACCCCCAGTCAATTCTATTCAGTTTTCTAACAAAAACCTATTCCAGTTTTACTCCATTTGAGATTATTATTTACTCAGGAATGTGCTTCAATATAATCAAAAATGTTATTCCAACTGTCATTCCATACATTTTAAAAGTGTTATTGTAAATCCATTACTTTTTTTTATATAAAACTTAATGTAACTTTTCCTACCACATGCTAATATTTGTTTATAAATGTATATACATATATATGTAGAGTATTAACCTTTTAAATGTGACAATGATATTTAATAATACTGAAGATAGTTTATGATAGCAGATGTTCAGGTTCTGTTCAGGTTTTTTGACAAAAGAAAATGTATTTTAAAACCTACCTCAATTCTTTCCTTGATAATAAACATTCCTAAAGTGATGGCTTTTTTTAAATGTGAAAATTCCATTTTAAAGTTAAACAGTATTTTTTATAAGACTCAGTAAAACTTTTACATCATGTGTCAATATTTGTTAGTTTTGTATAAATATAGATTAATGTTTAGGTTTTTAATAATTAATATTTTTTAAATGATAGCATGTGCCACTGAAAGACAATTGTTGTGTAGTTAGTTTTGTTAAATATATTGATATATGCAAGCTAATGTTCAAGTTGTGTTAAAAATGTTATGTGACAATGATACTTTTTTGATAATACTCAATATATTTTATGATAGTTGATGTTCAGGTTCTGTTCAGGTTTTTTGACAAAAGAAATCCATTTCATGTATTTTAAAACCTACCTCAATACTTTCCTTGAAAAAAACCCCATTCCTAAATTGATGTATTTTTTAAAAAAATGTGGAATTCCATTTTAAAGTTAAACAGTATTTTTTTTTTTATAAAACTCAGTAAAACTTTGACATCATGTGTCAATATTTGTTAGTTTTGAATAATTCTTATTTTTTAAATGATATCATGTGCCAATGGAAGAATTGTTGTGTAGTTAGTTTTGTTAAATAGATTGATATATGCAAGCTAATGTTCAGGTTGTGTTAAACATGTTATGTGGCAATGATTATTTTTGATAATACTCAATATATTTTATGTTGTTGGTGTTTAGATTATGTTTTATGATTGTTAAGGTTGCGAATATTAGTAGCAAATGTGCCAATGGAAGAATTGTTGTGTAGTTAGTTTTGTTAAATAGATTGATATATGCAAGCTAATGTTCAGGTTGTGTTAAACATGTTATGTGGCAATGATTATTTTTGATAATACTCAATATATTTTATGTTGTTGGTGTTTAGATTATGTTTTATGATTGTTAAGGTTGCGAATATTAGTAGCAATACACTTTTGATTCTAAAAACTGTTATCTTCCTTTAACTGTAAACTTTCTCAAAATTTACTTTACATGTTTCATACACTCACCAATCATAAGAAGCAGGATTGGAGGCTACTGGAACGCGCATTCAAGCAACACCATTTAGTTAAGGACCACATGTACCCCACCATAATGGGTGAATCGGCTGCGTTCAATCGACTTAGGCTACGTCCTGGACAACCCCTGGAAGACTACCATAGCCAGATTGTGGAAAAAGGGCGGCGACTTGACAAAATAGAGAGAGACATGATAAATCAATTTATAGAAGGCCTCCCTCCCGCTTTGGCATTTTTGTAGATAAAATGTACCTGTACTCGTATACCGGTACAAATCGTGCTGCATTCATTCGAATTTGACATTCTATGTTTGTTGTTTAGTTAGTAGATATATATCAAAGTACTGAAAGTACTGAAAGCTAAGGCAAAAGATATATATATATATTATTTTTGGAATAGAGAATAAAATAAAGACGAAGTTCCCATCATATTGTACAGAAGGATTTACTGTTAATTTGTTATGAATCAAAGTTTTATGTAAAAGTGTACCACTGTGAAGTTATTCTTCTTGTGTGTACAGTATATCTTTATATGTTTGTCAGAAGAGGGGTACCAAGTTTCCTCTAGAATATATCATTTTAAACCTTTGGATAATTAATTTGCATAGGAATTAGGAATTGCTTCCCTTTGTCCATACAATGTATTTCATAGAACATTAAAAACTGAAACTGGCATTTACCCCTTTGACCAATACCTGATTATTTTAAACCATTGAATAGATTATGCACAGATTGTGAACATCTTTGAACTTTGCCTTTGTTGTTGAATAAGATATCAACCCTTGCCTTATCTAACAAAGTTACTTGGCATAAAACCATTGACCAATCAGAGTACAGTATGCTAATTAATTAGGCATGGATTTCACTCAACTTTGAACTTATCGTCTAAGTTTGTATATTGATCAATATATATTCAAGCAAGTTATCTTGTAAAGTGTGCACATCGACCAGGGTTGGCATGCTTCTTAATACGTGTGAATTTTATTCAAGCTTCAATTTTGCATCAGTCAGTGTATATTGTAACAGAACAATATTTATAAGGATGTTTACTTGCTGAAACTAAATTGTGGATAAGCAAGTGGATTACTGCTACCCATCAATTTACAAGTCTCTCAATAATTTTGAAAAACTTTTTAATATAGTGTTTTACATATTCACTGCAGTGAAAAGGTCTCTTCTATTTTGAATCTGTGTTCCCAGGAACAAATAAGATAAAAAAGCACTCTAATTCAATATGATACATTGTTGTATGTTTCAATATTGAATAAGATAAACAAAGTATAAACATACATACTCGCACACACACACAAGATTAGGAGAGTTACATTATTTTCCCTCTATTTCCATTGCATAAATTCTAAACAAAGAAAACAACAACTTTGTAGCATATGTTCAGCTTTATCATCTTCATAGGCTAGCATTTGAAATAAGATGCACATATTAATTTCAAATACATTTTAAAAGAGTACTGCAAATGTACCAGCTAGAACACATACTATGTTATTACAGTTGTCATTTTGTTTGTTTGCAGAACTGATAGCATT